CTCAGCATCTATAAGAGCTAGAGTCTTGAAATTATTTTGTAGGTCCGTGTATAGCACGCGCCTAAAATTTAAGTTTAGTTGGAACTAGATCCATTATGTGAAGGCGTTTGCATCTCAACCAAGCCAATAGGATATGTAGATCATATGCTGAAAATTTCATTAAAATCCATTAAGAGCAACAGAAATTATTAAACAAAACGTTTGGCCAATTTGCAAAAGAATATGTCAGCAGCGCCACTCGCACGCATTTTTCCTGTGCGTGTGCACACATACATTCAAATGCGTGTATTCTTTTCTATTCGAAGAATCGAAATTGCGCTTGAATTGTGCTGAATTATTAGCTGCTACTTATGTTCAAATTTGCAACTGCTCTACTAAGCAGTGCAGTGGCTGAGTTGGTAGAGGCAGCAATCGTATGTAGCTAGGTCCGAGGTTCGAGACCGGTGGGGATGAGAAATTTTTTATTGTTTTATTTTTTTTTTTAATTATGAAGTGGCAGTGTTGGTAGAGTTGGTGCACGTTGCGCAAATAATCTGGGTTCGAAACCTGGTCTCGCAATGTCGATTTTTATTTGTATTCTTTTTTTTTTGAATACTCGATACAAACTACGGAAAATATTAAAAAACTCAGAGGACTGGGATCAGGGATCCTAGTTGGGCACCCCGATTAGAGCTTTCTTACTTGTTACTAGAACAATTTGATGAAATATAATTTCAGGTTTCTACTACTATTTGTACTGATATTATATATACAATTTATATACCCACTACTATTCTATGTTACTTATAATATAACTACTTCTATTATTCTCCTATATTCTACTACTATTTCCACTTCTGTTCTATTCATTTTATGTATCTACTGCTATACTTATACTACTATTTTTATTCTACTACTATAATATTATTGTGCCTACTGACATTGTTATAAGTATGCTATATTCTGTTAGTAGTATCCTATATTCTGAAATGATAGTACTCTATTTGAACAGGTATTCTATACAAAAGTTTTTTCTCTATTGCTAAAGCATTTTACTATATATAGCATTTTACTACTGTTACTAAAAAATAACTATTTCTACTATTATGGTTTCGACTCCTACAAAAGATTCTTTTGCTTTATACGCTACTATTTTCAACAAACAGAGACAGTAACGCAGAGGCAGACGCGTGGACAGGGGATGTCTGAATGAAACTCTATGAACCATTCATTATTTCTATTTTCTTATGTATGTATCTGTAAGTACAGACACACGAGGTCACTCGGACAAATGTATGCGTGAAATTTGGGGACCTGTGAAAACAACAACTAAACCTTTATCTATGTCTACATCATATAAAATTTCTAGTTACCGAAGGCGTATGGGATAAATGCATATGTGGATATATATAAACTCGACTAGATATTGTTACAGTTATAGGATGGCTAAAAGATCTGATGGGGCTCGTTAAAAACTAATATACCCTGTTTAATCAGTGCTTAATGGTGACAAATATAAAAATATCTCAAGCTCGATTTCCAACATCCGCTTGCGTGTGTATATATATTACATATTTTAGTATGTGTGTGCGTGTGTGCGTGTGTGTGCGTGTGTGCGTGTGTGCGTGTGTGTGTGTGTGTGTGTGTGTGTGTGCGTGCGTGCGTGCGTGCGTGTGTGTGTGTGTGTGTGTGTGTGTGTGTGTGTGTGTGTGTGTGTGTGTGTGTGTGTGTGTGTGTGTGTGTGTGTGTGTGTGTGTGTGTGTGTGTGTGTGTGTGTGTGTGTGTGTGTGTGTGTGTGTGTGTGTGTGTGTGTGTGTGTGTGTGTGTGTGTGTGTGTGTGGTGTGTGTGTGTGTGTGTGTGTGTGTGTGTGTGTGTGTGTGTGTGTGTGTGTGTGTGTGTGTGTGTGTGTGTGTGTGTGTGTGTGTGTGTGTGTGTGTGTGTGTGTGTGTGTGTGTGTGTGTGTGTGTGTGGTGTGTGTGTGTGTGTGTGTGTGTGTGTGTGTGTGTGTGTGTGTGTGTGTGTGTGTGTGTGTGGTGTGTGTGTGTGTTGTGTGTGTGTGTGTGTGTGTGTGTGTGGTGTGTGTGTGGTGTGTGTGTGTGTGTGTGTGTGTGTGTGTGTGTGTGTGTGTGTGTGTGTGTGTGTGTGTGTTGTGTGTGTGTGTGTGTGTGTGTAGTGTGTGTGTGTGTGTGTGTGTGTGTGTGTGTGTGTGTGTGTGTGTGTGTGTGTGTGTGTGTGTGTGTGTGTGTGTGTGTGTGTGTGTGTGTGTGTGTGTGTGTGTGTGTGTGTGTGTGTGTGTGTGTGTGTGGCGTATTTGCCCTCGCCAACTGCTACCGAAATCTTAGCTTATTCGACGAACCTGGCCTATTGTTGTCAATGTTGCCATATACATTGATATATTCATTCGTCTGTTGAGAGAGATGCTTTGGTGGCTTTGGCATTGCTCCTCTCTCTCTAAGGTTTAACTTCCCCTACCCCTTTCCCTATCCGACGACCCATGTTCATCGTGAATAGCATTGTGCAGCACCCGTTTCTCAGAACAGGAGGCAAAAGAAAACAATTCCTTCAATACAATAAACATACATACATACATATGTACATAAGTATGTGAATATGTATCTCTGTGTGTGTGTGTTTCTTTCTTGCTTTTCTTCTTTATCATTTTTTTGTCTTTGTTTTTGTCCTTTCTGCATTGTGTCCATACATACATATGTATGTATGTATTTACAGTGCATTAATTCGTTTTAGTATTACTTTTTACTCTTACTCTTTCTACTTTTCCACGTCTCTTCCTCTTCTTCCTATTTTGTAAATCCTCATTGTGTGCGCAGTTCGCTTATGAATTTGTGGATTCAAATGTTCGTCTCCCTTGGAATTTTTTTGTTCTTGTTGCTCTTTCTGTTGCAGCGTCTTAAGACCAAAGAATAAAGACGATGCCTGTGTGCGTGTGTCTCAAGTAAGTAACTGTGTGTATGTGTGTACCTTCAATCTGGCACTCGCTATTCATTGCAAATAGAGGGCGATTGTGACAGCGGGCAAGCTGCATATATATGGATGTGTGCATACATAAAAACATATATGCATACTTAAATATACATACATGTATATGTATGACTATGTATGTATGTTTGTATACATATATGCATTAGCTTATGCTATAATCAATCGCAGCAAGTAACCTTATTCTTTCTTTAACTTTTTTCATGACACGCACATATGCATGCACACATACATACATGTATATGTATATACATATCTATATTTTTGTATGTTTATTTGTATGTATGTGCATACAATTGTGTATATATTCACACATTAATAAATGATGAATTGCTTATTGATTAAGACTGTTGTCGCGCTTATTTCACAGGAGTTACAGGCAGTTAGCTGTTCGCATGATTATCTATAATATACAGAGTATCAAGTAGTCGGGCAAGATATGTTACGTATGATTATCTATAAAATGCAGGGTATGCCACAGTCAGGCAGTTAGTATACATCAATTTATGTGACGCATGCTTATTTATCAAATATCATATACAGGGTATCAGTGAGTCTGGCAGTTACTTACACACGAGCATATGATATGCATGATTAGTTATAATATAAAGGGTACCACTCAGAGTAGTTAGTTTTACACAAGCATATGCTGCAAAAGATTTTCTATAATGTTCAGGGTATATTCAGTCGGGCAGTTAGTTACGCACAAACAGTTGATACGATTGATTGATACAGGGTATCATTCAGTCGGACAGTTAGTTACACACAAGCATATCTTACCCATTTTCTTCTATCAAATGCAGGGTATCCCTCAGCCAGGCAGTTAGCTACACACAACATATGTCATGCATAATTATCTGCACATGCACAAATTTTGTTCGAATCGTCATACATAAACATACACACGCACACACATATATATGATATATATATATACATGTATGTATTGTATGCGTACAAAGGGTGCTTTAAGAAAGCGGCATTTTGGTAGCTTTGAATAACGTATAAGGACGTGAAAGGGCCAAAGCCGAAACAATGGGCTCACACTTTTTGTGATGTTCTTGTTTTTGTGTTATGCCGAGGGTATCCTTAGTAGGTGCGGGGACCCATGCCGTGACCTCTTTGTTCATACATGTGTATGTATGTGTGACTATGAGTGTGTGTGTGTGGGACAATAATTCATTAACATATTCATGCGTTGGCAATACAATTTGCGACAATTTTAATGAGCGTAAAGCGAGGAGGCTGAAATAAATGATATTTATTGTTATTGTTTGCCAAAATTGGCATTCGACTTTGGCCACCGAGAGAATTTTGAAAACAGTTCATCACGGCCTTAGACAGGGATTGGGGCTTCCTTTTTTCTTAGTTGTCCCCATTGGCCGTATCGATCCATTGATCTTACCGAAATGAATGATTGCGAAAAGCTTTTGTCCAGGCGAAGAGGAGGACACAAAAAAACAAAAACAAAAACAGAGACAAAAACAAAAAATCAAATGAACGCAGCCATACATATATCTGATGTGTGTTTGTGTGTATATTGAATATATTTATGCATAAAAAACTACTACAGCCATAAAATGGTGAAAACAATGCATGTTTTCGATTGCCCCTCGTCTCTTGGCGGCGGCAAAAGCGGACAGCAAGTGACACTTTTGTTTTATATTCGCAACTTTTTATGCTGAATCGGAGAACAAAGGAGATTTCTTAGTAAAAAACCTTCACACACACAGAGGCGAACACGCATACGGCATACGGTATACGGCACACAGCATACGGCATGCGACATAAAGCGATTTGTATTGTACTTTGAGGTACTAAGCTCCCATAGCAAGCTGTATGTATGTATGTATGTATGGATTTATGTATATGCTTAGGCTACTCTAGAGCGTGTGTCCGGCCTACTTATTTGATAAGGCGTTGACAATTTGCAATGTTGTATCTAAAGCATCAAAAATATCGATAAATTTCGATATTAAACTACTGAGCAAACCGGAGAGAAGAGCAATAGAATAGAAACATGTCATCTGGTTGAGTGCAGACTGATTGAATGACCAAATTTTTGAGTAGTAACGCGATAACTCAGGTGCAATATCCTCACCTCGGCTCAGTTCGTTGGCAACTCTTATAAGCTGAAAGTGGCAAGTCTCGGGAACACTGATTTACATAGTTCTGGCCTGATCAGAAATGAGCTCATAGGACATAGACCTACAATGAATGCCTCCATACAATCTCTACTCGCAGAAATGAAAAGTTCAGTGCCTCCTTCGGCTGCATAAGAAAACAAAGGCAAGTCAAGGTTCTCTCCTTGTATTCAATTCTTCTGCACCGCTCTGCCGTCTCCTGCCTCTCCTCTCCTCTCCTCTTGCCCTTGACGCTTTTGCCTTTTTACAACTGAATCTGCGGTAAGAGTAAGAATCTGTTTCTGCGTCTCGGTCTCTCTCTCGCTCTTCCTCTCTCTCTCGCTGTGTGTTGCACGTGCCTTGTTGTTGTACGTCTTTATTTCTGTGGAGTCGTTATCTGTTTTCATATTCCTCAACTGGTTTATATTGTGCGCTCGTCTTGCTTATGCACTACACCCACACACAAATTCCGTGATATATCAACCACCACCATCGAGTGGCATGCCGCTTTGACGTTGCCTCCGCTCCGCTTCGCACCGCTCCTTCTGGCTTGTCGCTGGCTCGCGCTCGTATTTTGGTCGGTTTCTCCGGCTGTCGCTGTGTCTGCGGCTGTGTCTGTAGCTGGTATGCAAAAAACCTCTAACCCACCTCACTCCACTCCTATTCACTGTATCACTTCGTTGTGCTCATCGCACTCATCAGTTTTGGTTTGGTTTGGTTTGGCTCGGTTTCGCTGCACTGCCTCCCGCTCTTCGCATTCCTCACTTTGGCTCGGCTGCACTCTGCACCCTCCTCTCTCTTGCCATCCCTCATCCAGCTGGCAACTCGGACGTAGATTTGAGCGTCTTTTCATTACACCTTCGGTGCTCATAATTTCTGTTCTTTCTTGTTACTCTTTTGACGCCAATGCGGTGCAATATGCCCTCCCCCCACAATCATCGGCAATGCAATTTTGTTGCTCCATCTCGAACGTTGCCATTGTCATTCGTACGTTCGTTAGCTTGGGCTGGGACTAGCGCGAAATCTGAATAACCTATGCCCAAACACATTTTTGCCATAAAAGCTTAATTCAATAATGAATCGAATTTGCCAGCGAGCCATGAGCTCAACTTCACATTAATTAATAAAAAGCTTTAGAAATTCTTGACTCGATCTCCTACACTCAAGCGAAATGATAAAGAAAGCAATTTATACTTTTAACAGAAGAAAACACACAAACAGGCAGAAGGAGGAGTGGCAGGCTTACTAAAGTATATATATTCTTGTTCAAGAATACGAACTAAGTCAAAGGGAAACTCCAAAGAATTTGTATTTTTCGATAATAATTGAACATTTGATTTGGTAGCCTAAGCGTAGCTCGAATATCACAGAAGATGGAAGCTGTATTTACTGCGGGGTTCCATATAGTAGAGATTTGTGTTTTTGTTCTTTGTGTTTCACACATCCGAATATCATTATCATGCTCTGAAAATTTGATTAAGAAAGTTCAACTTGATGAAAGGTAATGTGATTGGGAGAGCAAGTCTGCGCCGTGTTCCGGGTATCTCCTATTCGAGCACTCCCGAGTGCAGCATTCTTACATGGTATTCATATATGCTCAGCGTTAATCATCAGTCAAATTCTCGTCACCAAACAAACCTGCATACAACTCCTGTGTGTGTGAGTGTGTGTGTGTGTCTGCGTGTGCAACATGCAGATTTCATTTCACGGACAATGCCTCCTCTGATAACAGCTATTAAATACTTACTGAAGTTAGTTTAAATTTTATTCCTGCTTTTTCAGAACTGTTTTCTAGTCTCTTTTATTGTATTCGCAGTTTGCGAAATTATTTAATGTTGAGCCATCTATAGGAACCATCCATAGGAATCTTACATATGCATGTCCCTGCAATTTGTTAACTTTCGTCATACAATCAGTTCACTTCATTTCAAAGTGGAGATGGGCGCGTGTCGTAAGTTCAAACTCAACTTGAACGACACCATGCGATGAATGGTGCTGAGGACTAACACAAGAGGAATCGGTCAGAGAAGTTGATTGGAAATCAATGTAGACTAGATAGCTGTATATATTCATTCTTTTTTGTTGGTCTGGAGTGCCCGATTAGTACAGAGCTGATATTTTAATCAGACTAACCTTCTTTAATACGTACGTAAGGAAATTGGATGAATCATCCAGGGAATATACAAGGAATATACATTAAAGTCTCTTGATATGGCTAGATCGATTCAGCTTGTCCTGTTCAGAACTATATATTCTTAAATGAGTGTCACGTTCTCCTCAACCTGTTACATATATTTTCACAAAATGACATTAATCATCGGTTCAGGGCATAACAACACAAAGAGCACGCGCCCATCTCTAAGTCCCTACTTTCAACACTAAGCTCAGCGCAGGCAAATTGTTACACATATACATATACATATGTATATGCACGCACGTACATACATGCATGCAAATGTTTTGGCTGTATGTATTTAAATACGTACGGTAAAGAATTTCTCGCTATGCATTTATGCATTTATACATACACGCACATATATATATATATATTTATATATAGTGTAGTCAACAATTGTTTGGATGCAAATTGCAGTTACATTGAGTACCCACACATACACACAAACACACACTCATTATACTGTAGCGGTAACGCTACAATAGCAACACACACAGTTCTAGGGCGAGAGAGGGAGAGAGACACAGTTAGTTAGGCAGAGGCGCACACGCACACGCACAACATATATTTAAGTTGTCATCAGAACCCCGTTGTCATTAAATAGCTATAAAGCATTTTGAAAACGCATTTCAGATAATTGTCAAGTAATTACCCACTTTACATTGTTAGTGTCATTGCTGATGTTCTTCTTCTTACTCTTCTTGTTGCTCAACGGGCATTCAAATGTGCTCACACACATACCTATAGTATAGCTCATAGGCATATAGTACAGCTAGTATAACGCTTTTCTACATACTTCATGCAATGGTATTTTATTTACGTGGTATTTTATAGGTAAATATTATACATTTTAAAGTCAGCTGCAAGATTTGCCTGCCTACCTTTTGCCTGATCTATGTTACACTATTTTCGGTAGATCGATCTTAAGTCAAAGAGCTGCTTGATCGAAAATTATAATATTTAAAATATATGTAAATTTCGAGACGAATTTCCCGCCTAATTTGAAGTCTCTTAATGAACTTCAAATAAAAATATATCAACTTTAGTCAGACTTAAAATATATAGCAATTATATATAGGTATATATAAGTGAATGCATTGATATTGATTGCCTGAATAATACATAGATTTCTAATGATACTTTTGCGTGTGCCTTCTCTGTGTTTTGTAGGACTCCAATAATGCTAACGACGGCTCTCCAATGTCCAGCTCTGATGTTGAAACTTTTAATGGCAAAATAGTTTACAATCTTGACGGCAGTGCGTTAATAATCGATGCAGGCAATGCGACTATTTCGCCTAGCATTAATTTAAGATCTAGCTGTGCAACAACGACACCAACAGCAACAGCAGCAGGAGCAGCAACAGTAGCAGGAGCAGGAGCAGGAGCAGGAGCAGGAGCAGGAGCAGGAGCAGCAACCGCCATAGGAAGACCAATACCTACAGCCACACCTGCACAGTTAGCAGCAATAGAGACTCGGAGCAGGACACAAGGGGACAGTGACGGCAAAGTTGAGGGTGAAGATATCGGATTGGATGGAATTTCTAGTGTGTCCAGCCACTTGAGTCCAAAGATCCATTCATTTCGTGTTGTGTCCGCCCAAGATGCCAGCAGCCATTGTCTGGATGCAATAAATGCGTTTCAGACACACAATCATAAGCCGATATTGATGTGCTTCATATGCAAATTGTCCTTCGGCACTGTCAACTCCTTCAGTTTGCATGCGAATAGCGAACATCAACTGAATCTGGTGGAACTGGAGCAGCAGTTATTGAATCGGGAATTTTCGAGTGCGATCATTCAACGTAATATGGATGAGAAGCCGCAAATCTCATTTCTACAGCCATTGGATGTTAAGGATGCCCTGGACATTAATGCTAGCGAAACGAAACACATTAAGGATCAGTTGTCGGGCTCTGGCTTTGGCCGGGGCGAGAGCTCGAGTGCTGAGGATGCTGAAGGTGATATTGAGATGACGGAGCAGTTGGATAGTATAGCGTCAACTGTAAAATTTGGTTCCTTAAATTCAGCAACAATTAAGACTAATAACAAACCAGGTGCAGGTGCAGGTGCAGGTGACGGTGCTGGTGCTGGTGCTGGTGCTGGTGCAACGGTATCGACAACATGTAACTCACCTGCAACAGCGAGACGATCATCAGCATCGCCGACAGATACAGTTGAGACGTTGATGGGGTCCAGACGTTCTCCCACACCGCCGCCCCCACCTTCACCTCCTCCACCCCCTCCAGCCTCAGCTCCACCTGCTCCACCTGCTCCACCTTCTTCACATGTAAAGTCCAGTACTGATAATATAGATAGCGATAAGTCAAATAAGCGTAGCCAAAGGTCAGAGTCAATTGCCTCTGAATGTGGCACTGATTCACCCACACTTCCACTACAGCCATTACAGCAGCTGCAGCAGCAGCAACAGCAGCCTATCGATGCAGATGCTGCAGCGTTAACGGCAGCCGATATCTTACAGCAACATCTGCTCTCACTTCAGCAGCAGCAGCAGCAGCAACAACATGTGGCCGGCGCTTATCCACCCACAATGCAGGCTCAGGCCCAACTAAGTTCCTTTCATGCTTCTCTCACGGCTATAGCTAATGAACAGAATGCGCGAGGTGTTAAGCTACTCACAGAATTTCTGCAGCAGCAGCTACAGCAACAGCAGGTGCAACAACAACAACACCAACAACAGAAACATCTTCTGCTTCCCACACACTGCTTGGAGCATCCCGATTTTAAGGGTGTTGACTGCAAAACTTGCGAATTGATTGATATTCAACACCGGACCAAGTCGCCGGCTACACCTCAATCCCAATCCCAAATGCAATCCCAATCCCAATCCCAATCCCAAACGCAAACCCAAACCCAAACCCAATGCCAATCACAGTCACTGCCGCAGCCTCTGCGCTCGCCCAATGGCAGCATCTCAGCATCTATGCCCATCTCGCCTACCGCCTCATCCGTTGGCAATGTGCCAGCTTCGAGCTTCACAATAGGCGCCTGTTCTGACCACATCAACGGACGACCTCAAGGCGTGGATTGCGGTCGGTAAGTACATTGAGTCTATATTCTCGAAATGCCACTAAAAGGCCTCTAATTGTTATGAAAGCTGATCGCCCATCGGATGTCATAGAGTCGGGAATGCTCGACTAGAAAATAGCCTGACCCTAATCATTCGAGGATTTTTTTTATATATCTACACTTCCACGCGCACTAGCTTTTGTGGCTTACAAGATACGGACGGACGGGCAGATGAATATATGGACTAGACTATATCGCTCTGATATTTCTATATTATGGGGTCTGACGCCCTTCCTTCTGTCACGTACACCTGCACAAGAACAATACAACCTGGATCCCCACTTCTGAATGAGAATGTGCTGAAATTGAGCACATGATTGTAGCAATCTTTTTTTTTTTTTTTTTTTTTTCGTTTTTATTTCTTTATTTTGTTGCAGCTTATTGTCTTAGACTCTATAGCGCATTTAGCTCTAAACCTTAACTAATGGGAGGGCAGATATGCCAATTATTCTGCACTTGTAGCTACTATCTTAATTAGTTCTAATATTGTCTAGAGGATGCAATCTCTTCAGTCTTCGCCTATTGTTGTTTATAGCCAGGTTGCTTGCGAGATGGTTAGGATGCGCTGCAAGTCTGTCCGCGTATCTTGAACTGTGTCGCCCAATGAGTTCAGCAACTGTGGGAATTGCTAAATCCCTATGTAAGACTGAGTTTCTTACAAACCAGCTGGCTCCAGTCCATCTGCGTAGTGCTTTATTCTGCAGGGTCTGAATTTTGTTCCTTGTAGTCTTCGCCGAGGAGCCCCATAGAGAGATACCATATACGAAGGTTGGGACAACTATTGCCTTGTAGATGGCGGCCTTGCTGCTGTAAGACAACTTGCTTGAAGCTCTCAGCATCCAGTCGAGGGTTTTTAGCTTGCTTTTGCATTTTGAGGTTACTTGACTTATGTGCGCTTTAAAAGTCAGCCTTCTGTCAAGAGTGATACCAAGGTACTTTACTTTTGAGGCTTTGGGAATAGTGGGCCCCAATGCAACGCTTGGGCAATCTCCTCTTCTAGTGGCGAAGGTAGTATGTACAGACTTTTGTGCATTAATGGTGATACACCACCGTTTTGCCCAGCGTCCGAAAGAGTCCAGATATTTTTGTAGTGAGTCTGAAGCTTCTTGCGCAGATACGTGACGTGATAAGATGGCGGTGTCATCTGCATAGGTCGCTATGAGTACTGCATCTGTACTTCCTATATTTGGCTCGGGAGTTGGCATATCTCCTGTGAATAAAGTATAAAGTGTTGGGCCTAGAACACTACCCTGTGGTACTCCAGCCATAATTGGTCTAGTCAAGGATACTGTTTGCCCCCTTGACACTTGGAAGGTTCTTCCAATAAGGTATGAGGATAGCAACGCGAAAAATGGGGCTGGAAGGGTGGTCCTCACTTTCTGCAGCAGTCCCAGGTGCCAAACTCGATCAAACGCCTGTTTGATGTCTAAAAAGACGGCAGAGCAGTACATCTTTTCTTCAAAGGCTCCAAGGATATGGTGCACAACTCTGTGAACCTGTTCCGGTGTTCCATGCTGTCTCCTGAAGCCAAACTGATGGTTTGGAATGGCCTCCTGGCGTCCCAGATGTGTCAGTACTCGTTCCAGAAATATTCTTTCGAATATTTTGGAGAGTACTGGCAACAGGCTAATTGGTCTGTACGACTCAATTTCTCCCACGGGTTTGCCAGGCTTAGGAATCATCACAATCACGGCGCGCTTCCAGCAGGCTGGAAAGTGCCGGATGCGGAGCATGGCGTTGTACACCATAGTTATGTAGTCTATGGTGGAGTCAGGCAGTGCTCTAAGGACTCTGCCGTTTATTAGATCATATCCAGGGGATTTTTTTGCCTTCACTCTTCTGATGTGTTCAAGAACCTCTTCTTTTGTACATCCAGTTATCTGGTCTTCAGCTGGGAGGGGCGAGAGAACGATGTCTTCTGTTGCTTCGATTTCTGAGGCCTCTGCGGTAATCACCGGCGTGAATTGGTCTTGAAGGTGGTTTGCAAAAGCCTCAGCTTGAGCTTCGTCTCCAATGTGCCAGGAACCAGAAATGCTCCGAATGGGATGACGTCGTATTGGCTGCCGTTTGAGCTTTCTTGTAAATTTCCATAATTGAAACTCTGCGTCAGTGGGCGATTCAGCTCGTACCAGCGCATCGCTGATACACCTCTTTTGAAGCAGGGCGAGAGCAGCTTTAAGATGCCTCGTGGCTTCGTTGTACATGGATTTGGCATCAGGCGTGCGTAATCTTAACCAGCGTCTCCTGGCCCATCTTTTGTGTATTAGTAGGTGTTGGGCCTCCAAGGTGAGGGGGATGTTGTACGGAGACTGTTGTCTTGTTTGGCAAGATGGTGGGGCGGCTTGGTGCGCAGCTTTGACTATTTCTTCCTGCAGTTTGTTTGCTGCGTAGTCCACGTCTTCAGGAGTGTTAAGTTCCATTTCTATGTGCAAAGAGTAATGGAGCTCGCGCCTAAAGACTCCTAAATCTGATCCTGCTGGCAGTAGTTGTTTCCTAATGGGCAAGGGCTGTGGCTGCGCGTGGATTGTGACTATTAGTGGCAGGTGGTCAGAGGATAGGTCCAAGGATTCTTCAATGGTCAATTGCCGGTCACAGATGCCTTTGTAGACAGCGAAGTCGATTGCCGAGGGCCTGTGTCCATTAATTGGGTAACGGGTGGGGGCTCCAGTCGCCAATATGCTGAATTGTAAGTTTTGAATCGCCTCAAATATGACTTCTCCGCGACGATTCGCACTATTGCTTCCCCAAAATGGGTGCCATCCATTCCAGTCGCCGCCGATGAGGGTCTTATTCAACCTTTGGCCTAGAACCTGTTCCATGTGATGATCACACAGACCAGTGTTTGGCGGAAGATAAATTGACGCAACTTCGATCGCTCCAATAGACGTAGGCAGGGTGATGGCTGAGACCTGCATTGTTGCGTTGCAAATTGGCAGTAAAGGTGTATGCGGTATTGTTGCTCGTATGAGGATTGAGGATCCACCAAAGCAGTTTGCTCCTTCACCATGAGCCTGATAGTGTTCGTATCCGAAAATTTGTGTAGTGGGGCACTCATGAGTTTCTGTTATTAACATTATATCTATGTTTTCTTGTGAGAGAAACGCAGCCAGTTCCTGAGTCTTGTTTCTCAGGCCATTGGCGTTCCAGATACCCACACGTAAAGCCATTATTTGTAGGCAAGCTTGGTTATGATGGCCATTAAACTGTTTAGCATGGTTGCTTGTTGGGATTGTACTTCTCGCATCGCTTTGAGCTCGGCATTAATTGCGTCAAACTGACGTTGTTGTTGCTGAAGCATTTCAGTGAACAAAGTGTCACTTGTGGTATTCTTATTTGACGGTCCACCTCTAGCGGCCTGTGCGTAAGAAACACCACTAATAGGCGTTGCAAAGCTCGTGGCTTGGGTAATGCTCCGGGGCCTTGTAATTTCGGAAGCAGTACTCGGACCCGTAGACGGTGTTTGTGTGGGACTCCTTTTTTGTGCTGGGGATTGCAATTTGCGCAACCGCTTGTATACTTGGCAGCCCTTATAGTTGGCTGGGTGCTGTAACTCACAGTGCACACAAGTTGGTGCCTGGTCCTTTTCGCGGGTGCAGTCTTTGGATGCGTGTTTCCCGGCGCAACGCACACATCTGGGAGCTTTGTGGCAGTAGCGTTGTGTGTGTCCAAATTCTTGACAGCGATGGCATTGTGTCAGGTCGTTGTATCTTCTTGGCAGTTCCACTGTGCAGCGTTGCCTGCAGACAACTCGAATGTCCAAAATTTCTTTGTTGTTGGGGGCCTGAGCCACGTCAACAAAAAATATATTTAGCGGTGTTTTGTCCATACGGCTCAGTGGGTTGTGCACATTTGTAATTGTGTGGCCTTTGGTTTCCAATTCCTTTTTAATTAGTGTTGTATCAGTGCTGGAGTGAAGCCCTTTGAACACGACTCTATATGGTTTGTCCTCCTTAAGCTGGTAGCAGTGGAACTCCAATTCCAGCTTAGTAAAGTGGTCTATAACTCTGCGATAGTCCTCACTGCATTGGGTTAATACACCTATGTTATTCTTCTTTGGCTTAATTACGTATGATTTAGCATCAATTACTTTATCTATTATCTGTTGAAGTAGGGCCACAGACTTGATGTTTGGACACCATATGGGGGGCGGACGAGGTTTCGGAGTAGTTTGCTGGTCGGTCAATACTGGGGCTTCTGGAGCTACAGGTGATTCGCTGTAGTCTTCATCTTCTTCTACGAGCAGTGAAAATCGATTTTCTGATATTAATGCTGCATTGCTGGTGCTTGGTTCGTCGAAGATGAGCCTTTTCTTGATGGTTTTTGGTGAATTTGGCTGTTTACGTTTCGTGTTTTTGTTGTTAGTGATGCCTTGCACGGAGGCGATATCTATTTTTGAGTTTATTGGCATGATGGAGGCTTGCCTATTTGCCATCACAACGTTAAGCTGGGCTTGCATTTCTGCATTTACCTTTACAGCTGTAGCGAGGTTATTGACATTAGATGTCATCGCGGATTGTGCTTTTGAGTGCAGGCGCACTCGCGCCAAGCGACGAAATTTCGTAAATTGCAATTAAAGCAATTGAGTTACGCGGAAGCAAGCGATAAGAAAACGCTGCGTGTGCGGTTTTTGTTGCTGTTGCGTTGAAGAATGCACCGCAAAGTTCTATTTTTAGAACTCTGCAGCAGTAGAGCTTAAGCGAAGGCTGTTCGAATTCACGTCTTTACAGGTCGAACGACTGATCGCGATTGAGTAGCAATCTTATTGTATTTGAATTATGTTTGAAAGTAATCAGAAGAAGTTTTCGACTTTCAATGATGTTTCTCGCAAATGCACCTACACATATTCTGTCTCCCTGTCTATCTGCTACCTAGCTGAGCAGCAGGAGAGAAGTAAAATGGATCAGTGAAGCGTAATATTACCAATTTGTGCGTGATAGAAGGCGTTTGCTACCCAGGCCAAATATTTCTTCACATATATATTTATATATATATATATATATATGACGGGATATTTGTGAAAAGGGGTTGATTGAGTTATGGTCTCGGTTGTGGTTGAGGTTGAGGCAGTTTTCGATATGGGCAACTTTCGGGCACGTCTCTGCTGACAATGCAATGCAATGCAAAAAGGGGTTTAGCAGCACATAATAAGCGTAATTATTGCTGCTGTTTGAACTCTGGCCAAGGGGTTTCATAGTCATCATCAACCCATAGAATAACTCATTAGTCTAATTTTTGGCCTGGCGAGAGGGCAAGAACTTGGTCTAGGCTTAGCAAGGCTTTGTTGATTGCTCCCACCCACCACATCCGTGTCACCTCGGGCTTTATTCCGGCTGTTCATTTAAACGCAAATGAGCCTTGGGATATGTTCGTTCCAATTTGTGTGTTCACATTGATTGCGTGAGGTTATCTGAATTGAAGTTCCATTTCCTTTCATTTCTCCTTACACACCCCCGCTCAAACACACACACATTCACTCCACACATACCGATTTAACTAGCGACAAAAAACTCTGTGCAATGATGACATGTTTAAGACAAACTCGATGCTAGAGTTTGATCCTTGATCATCGATCAGTCCGATGGGATCTAGAATTGAATGTATGAAATATATGCATACCTATAGAAGATTTCAACTTAAATCACTAACAATGGTATTTAAATAATTGTAGGGGCTTATTTAAATGAGCTCATTGTCGACAAACCTCTTTCTCTCTCTCTCTCTCTTTCTCTTGGGGCTCTTGGAACCAGAGATGAATATGAGGAAATGGTCGGACGGAGGCGGCATAACTAAAATAAATTAAACCAATTGCGCAGATTTCACTTAATAAATGATATATATATATATATATATATATATATATATATATATATATATATATATATATATATATATATGTATGTATATGTATAATATATATGTATTTATGTATGCATTATCATATACGATATTCTCTCGGTTTCAATTCAAATTGCCGCAATTCATAGGGATCATAAAATTTCATCAACACTTTGTAGGGTGCTGTTCGCCCGTCCATTGTGTATTACTTACTATTTGTATGTGCTATTCATTTACAATAGAGTTGTGCGGCTCGAACTCAAATTAAGTAATCATTGTATAAGCGTACAGAGCCAGAGCCAGAGCCAGAGACATAGAAAGAGACAGGGACAGGGACAGAAAATGTATTCTCTGCGCTGAGATTGAAACCCGTATAAATGTAAATTAATCGTACTTATTTCAATTAACTGCATCCCATCTCAGCTCTCTCCTAACGGATCGATATCTGTGCCTTTTTCAACCCATATGTTTATATAGAAATGAATATTTTGATTTGCTCGCAAAACATGACTGAAAAGCTCGGATGATCTTCGCCTTCAATTGCACTGCACATTAGTTAAATATGTCTATTGAACGGGTTCATTCGTACTGATAGACGGACGTCGACTCGGCTGTCCTTTGTGGGGCCTGTACCGACTCATTCTGCCTGTTGCATAGATTTTGGCAAAACCATTCCCATTTGCAATGCCTTCAGGGCCTCTACCAATGAGGTTAGACTACCAGGAATACCTTGATGTCGCTTAATTCCGCGTGTTAAAGACCTCTGGAGTAAAAGTCTAAAGTTCGTGGAGAAGCTTAGTTTTATACCATGTCCGTCTGACCTGAAGCGTGCCACTATGGGCGAAAAGCGAAACATCGATTCTTATCGATCATATGAAAAGAAAAAAATGTCCGTTAAATAAAATAGTAAACACTCGGAAAATATGTTGAAAACTCACAAGAATGTGGAGTTTTTCTATTTGGCTTATCCTAGTGAAACCACATACTTTTCAAATTTAGTTTTTTATGACACACTTCGAATATATTTCTTTGTTTATTATTGCAGCTGTGAAATGCTTTTAAGCTCGGCTCGTCTTAACAGCGGGGTTCAGATGTCTACGCGCAACTCCTGCAAAACACTCAAGTGTCCGCAATGCAATTGGCATTACAAATACCAGGAAACACTGGAAATCCATATGCGCGAAAAACATCCAGATGGAGAGAGTGCCTGTGGCTACTGTTTAGCAGGTAAGACTTGTATGAGAGCGAGCTTCCAGTATGATGTGTACAGATATGCGAGGATGGGACAGATCAAGCTGGAGTGACTGAGTGATTGACCTATCGATACCCTGCACCTTGCCGAACTCTGCTCTAGCTTGATGTCTGATGAAACTACAAACTGTGAACTCTCTTCACAGTCCTGCCGAGTCTGATTGTAGCTAAGGTTTAGATATCTCCGAGTCTCAATCACAGGGAAGCCTCCCACGTAACAGCAGGTCCACGCCAGGCTCATGGTATCGATTAGTCGAGCACTTTTTTACTTTTACTTGTACAATCATGAATATATAAAAAACGAACTATTATCAACAGGTCAACAGCATCCCCGGCTAGCACGTGGCGAATCATACTCATGCGGCTACAAGCCGTACCGGTGTGAGATTTGCAACTATTCGACGACTACAAAGGGCAATCTGTCGATACACATGCAGTCGGACAAGCATTTGAACAATATGCAGGAGCTGAACAGCTCTCAGAATATGGTTGCTGTGGCAGCAGCAGCAGCTGCGGCCAGCGCCAAATTAATGCTGCCCAGCCCAACGCCCACTCAAGCAGCGCCGCCACAAGCGGCAGCCGCAACGAGTGTAAGTGCTTCAGTTAATGCAAATGCTGTGTCCAGTAACGCAACAATAACAACTAAGGAAATATCAACGACAGCAACAGCCTTGTCCTCGAGCAAGCCGAAGCCAACGTTTCGCTGCGATATTTGCAGCTATGAAACATCGGTGGCACGGAACCTACGCATTCACATGACCAGTGAGAAGCATACGCACAACATGGCCGTGCTACAAAATAATATCAAGCACATACAGGCGCTGAATTATCTGCAGCAGCAGCAGCAGCAGCAACAGCAGCAGCAGCAGCAGCCGCAGCAACAGCCAGCAGCAGCAGCAGGAAATTCGAGCAGCTTTATGACAGCTGGGCCAGAGGTAGCCTTAGCTGATTTGGCTTACAATCAAGCGCTGATGATACAGCTGCTGCAGCAGAACGCCCAGGCGCAGCAGCAACAGTTGCTGCCGTCCACTGCCAGCAAATTGTCGCCAACAAACACGAGCTCGCCAGTTAGCACGCCCGAGCAGTTGCATGCCACATTTTCTGCATATTCGCCAAAGCCCATGAAAATGCCAACTGGGATCATGAATCTAACAACTGCAACGGCAGCGGCGGCTGGGTCAAGTGTCGAGTCGGAGGCATTCGATGCGTACACGGAGAGTCAGCCTGAACTATGGCCCACGGCCCTCTACAGCTGCCTCATATGCGACTGCTACAGCACTAACGATATGGAGGAGTTGAACCAACACTTGTTGCTGGATCGATCGAGGCAGCTGTCGAGCACGTCCACGGACATCATGGTCATACACAACAACAACTATATTTGTCGCTTGTGCAACTACAAGACCAATCTGAAGGCCAACTTTCAGCTGCACAGCAAAACGGATAAGCATTTGCAGAAGCTCAACTTTATCAATCACATACGTGAAGGTGGGCCGCGCAACGAGTACAAGTTGCAATATCAAACCCAGGTGGCAGCAAATGTGGTGCAGCTGAAGTGCAACTGCTGCGATTTCCATACCAACTCGATACAGAAGCTGTCGCTGCACACGCAGCAGATGCGGCACGACACAATGCGTATGATCTTTCAGCACTTGCTGCACATTGCACAGAAGAGTCGACTCCATCGCTGTTACCGGGAGTCACCAATGCCCATGCAATTGCTGCACGACGAGCAACAGGAGCAGCAGCAGGCATCGCCTTCGTCCTCGAAGAAATCCCTTTGCTGTCAACTCTGCAACTTTTTGGCCAAAAATCTACATGAAATGGTGCAGCACGTCAAGGGCTTGCGGCACATGCAGGTCGAGCAGTTCATTTGCCTCCAGCGACGTAGCGAAAATATCGAAATGCTCGGTCTCAATGAGGTCTTCAAGGTCACCGAACAGATGCCGCTATCCAACACTGAAGGTACGTCTTAGGCAACCTTTCCCCAAATCTCTAAATCTTGAAATCCCATGACCCGCAAATACCAAAACTCCGAATATAATTTTCTATCATTGCTCATAGCATAAAGTCAATCCTCCATGTGATATATATAGGAAATATCTTTAAGATCGTATATTTAGAGCCGAAGTCTAATTAAGCTCTTGCCTATGGTATCTGCCCAGAGGTGATGCTGCCTAATAGTTGGAGTATTTAATAGAAATTATACAAATTAGTTGAATTTATTTTGCGAAATGGGAGGAGAACCGAAAGGCGTCGGACGATGCTGCTGCTCACGAAAAGGTTTATAATTATTACGAAATAGGTTCAAAGATCCACAAGTACGAGCCAAGCGAAAAAGAACAAACTCCTTTTGAGATTTTCGTCCAATGCAAGGTAAGGTTTAGACAGCGAGGGAGAGAACAGGAAGGAGGACAGAGTGCTATTATCCATCATTGGAGCGTACCTAGATACCCTGTAGCTCTGTAGCTCTGTGTGTGTTGGTTGGTGGGTGTACACTGTGAATCCAGATTTCAGATTTCTCTCTCTCACTCTCTCTCTCTCTGTCTGTCTGTTTCTCTGGTTTGGGTTACGGTGTCCGTGGGTACTCTGTGGTTTAGGTGCTAAGCCTGCGGTTCGGGGCCCCGCACGATGCCGCAACTGAGATACGGCAATATCACACTGTGTTTACCTGTGCAACGGCCAACTGCAAACTGCAAACTGCAAGCAATGGATTGCGATTGGGGCCTGGACGTGGAGCAAAGTGTGTGCTGTGCACGTCACTAATTGCAAATTCGATGGATACATATAATCGTTTTTGCATTCTTAAGTAATTTGTAATAATTTCCTCAAGGGTCAGCGTCAGCGTATAAATCTCAAAGCGCATATAAATCGGCAGAAGGGCAACAGACACACACACATATACACACTCACGCACTCACACTCACACACACCGCATACACTCAAGAATTTACGTCCAATACACGTGGTAAGAGAAAGTGAGGGAAGCGGAGCTTCGCACAAGGACGATAATAATCGAAGAATCGGGGAACCAAAAAATTAAAATCGAACTCCTAATGATGAGTTACGAACGCATCGCGCATTAAGTCTTTGTGTGTATGTGTGTGTGTATGTTGTTGTTGCTGTTGCTGTATTGCAGACAAAAAAATAATAACAATAAAATAATAACAATAATAACGCACAGATTGGACCAATTAATATTAAAAAATCGAAATCAATTTAAACCCATTTTAACTTTTAATTACTTTTCATTTTTTAGCATTATTATTATTATTTCGTTTATTATTTTCAATCAATTAGCTTATTATTTCTTGAACAACTAGAACTGGTATTGACTATGGTAAACAAACTGATATTTCAGATATATAGAATTATATACACTTATGTATATTCAACTCGTATATAAAGTTGGGAATTAGGAGTATTATGGAAAATTAAGAAAGTTTTCTGATTCATCAATCTATATATACCTAAACAAATAATCGATATAGTTGTATCGGTAAATATAAAAGTTAATATTATATTATTATACATATTTATATATTGAATTGTGCTGAATTATTAGCTGCTACTTAGCTTCGCAGATAGGACTAGGATCAGGGTATCTCCTAGTCGGGCACCCCGACTAGAGCTTTCTTACTTGTTTTGTTTTGGATTTGGCGGTGAGGCTGGCTCATCTTTGGTGATGATGAAGATGGTGTTGGCGGAGTTGGCAGTGTTGGTGGTGCTTGGTGGTGGGGCCGCGTGACCGCTGCAGTGGTAACAGCTTCGCATGATTATTGCACCTACAACAACAACTACAACTGCTACTACTCCTACTAGCTCTCTCTCTCCCCTTCTTGCTCGCTCTTTCTCCTTATTGGTCTCTCTCTGTTTGGCCAAGTTTCTTCCACTCGCACCCATAGCCGCATTGGTCTTGATTTTCATAATACTCGTTCGCGTAGTTCAAAGGAAAGAGAGTATATAGGTTGTAGTCTTCTTGAAACTGGAGCTAGTAGCTGCTCGACGTTCTGATTAAGACTATATATATATCTTAAATGTAGCACAGTTTTTCGATTAGTCAAAGTCGACCTGCATCTGAAAAGGTTAGCTCAAGAAGTAAACTTAGTTAGTTTTTAGACCCTGGGCGAGTATTGGTCAGTCAGTTGCGCTCGACTGCAAAAGTTTCTGGTATCTGGGGTTTTTTGTTGTCGGCTTTTTAATTCGATGCAATCAAGCTGTATGGAAATTGCTTTGAAATTGGTAATGGAATTTGAAATATATTCGCATTTGGTCCGTATCACAACGGCTGCACCCTTGCTTGCAATTAACTGTACGCAGCTGAGACCAACTTCGTCTCCAACACCAACACCAATACCATCATCAAAAGAGACGGAGACGAAGTCAGATTGAGGACTAAACGTGGTATGGGTTCTGGGTGCTGCGTGCTGGGTACTGGGCTCTCGATTCTCGATTCTGGATTCTGGATTCTGGATTTCATCTGCCGTTCATGTCTGTGAATGTGTTGTGCGTTTCGCTTTTGTTGTGGTCGTTCCTATTATCAAAGGCATTGATTAGCCAAAGGGGTCTCTTACAGGATTATTAATCTGTACGTTAAAAAAAGCATCAAGAGTGCTTTGTGTGTGTGTGTGTTTGTGTGTGTGTGTGTGTGTGTCAGGTCAATGACTAACTTTTGCCAGTGCTTTCAGAGGAGATGCAAAGCTCTGTCATTAATTCATTAAAATTTTGATATATGTATGTCTGAATTTTTGTATAGATCGATTAGAATTCTCGATATATATTTATTCTCATATATTATTATTATAACTCTCTATCTATATATATACATATATATATATATATATATATATATATATATATATATATATATATATATATATATATACGTATATATTCTTTGGACAAATATTCCCACCATTATTGTTGACATTTGGAGTTTGTTTCTTGAAGCATACCTTGAATTTGATGTATTCTGATTTTGGGTAACTCTTCGGAATCGTAGATTAATATCGATTTGGTCATGTGTGCCCAATTAGGTCGAGCTAAGCTGAGAACCGAACTGAGTTGAGCTGAGCTGAGTTGTTATCTCAACGATTATTCATCCCTTTTTCAGCTGAATATTTTACAAAGATGAGTTCCAAGAGTAAAGATAGAGTCTTTAGATTATTTGATCAATTTTGCTCTACATTAATTTACATTTCAGATTCAAGCCTTGATTGCGGTCTCAATTTGGCAACGACAGCTTCTGTTAGTGCGGCGACAGAAATGGGCTTCGGATCATCCACTGATGGCAACATATTCTCGCCGGCCTCTGTCTCCAGCTGTGCCACATCCTGTGGTAAGACACAGCCGCGCACCCTTTCCCCATTGTCATCGAGCGCGCCACACGAACTGAGTTCCAGCAGTGCGTCAACGACTATTTTCAAATGTAATATCTGCGAATACTTTGTGCAATCGAAGAAGGATATGGAAAGTCACATTGAGGCAGTTCATCCCAGTGCCGAGATCGACGATTATATCAGTATACCGACAAATACGGCAGCACTACAAGCCTTCCAAACAGCCGTCGCAGCTGCTGCTCTCGCTGCCGTCCAGCGTTGCAGTGCCACGCCCACGTCGACGCCGACGCCGACGGCAACGCCCACAACACCAGACGAACGGGGCATGGGCATAGACATCGACGATTGCCCTGTCGAAATTAAGCGCGAACGCTTAGACGAAACCGATGAGACCATTAGAGCTGAAGCTAAGGATAGCAACAAGATCGCAAACGAAAAGCTGCCCCAATCGGGTGTTGCATGTCCCCTATGCCTGGAGAGCGGCTACTGTGAGAAGTCGTTGCTGGAAGCGCACCTGATGAGTGTGCACAGTGTGACCCGAGATGGACTCGCTCGACTCCTGCAACTGGTCAATCAGAAGGCGTGGCGTCCTGTCAAGAACGCCGATGCGACAACTACTGACGATGGCAAAAGTGCGCTGAATGATACTACGCCCACAATAGCCGTAGCAATGGGCGTCATGCAGGGCATGGCGTGCCAGCAGTGCGAGTCGAACTTCAAGCACGAAGAACAACTGCTGCAACACGCCCAACAAACGCAGCATTATCCAATGCAGAACGGTGAATACCTTTGCCTGCTGGTCAACAATGTCAGTCGTCCGTGCTACATGAGTTTTGCTACCTTGTCTTCAATGATTGGACATTTCAAAGACTCGCACATGAGTCTCGTCATCTCGGAGCGACATGTCTACAAATATCGCTGCAAGCAGTGTTCGCTGGCTTTCAAGACACAGGAGAAGCTTACCGCTCATATGCTCTACCACAGCATGCGCGATGCCACCAAGTGTTCCCTGTGCCAACGTAACTTTCGCAGCACTCAGGCACTCCAGAAACACATGGAGCAAGCGCATTCAGCCGAGTGTACGGCTGTCACGAGCAGCAGTCCTCGAGATATGTCGCCCAGTCCACTGCTTAGCGCTATGGAATTGGATAAAACTCCAGCAGAGCCAAATGTTTTTGACTTTACTACGACTCGAGCCAGTGAAACAGGTAAGTTCTCCGACGATCTGATTCGATTTGATGCCCTGGAGAACCGAAAGCAGGCGGGCTCGACCCAAAAACCTTTATATCTTCTTATTCGGGAGTCAATCTAGTCCTATCGTCTGTTTGGCCATGTCTGCATATACTGATCGGAGGCAGTCTAACACACCATACTGACTATATGTCATGAAGTGATGTAGTCCTGTCCTATAATAGCTGGAGACTTGAAGGCAAATGGATCTCAACTTTACTATAAACTATCTAGGGCCTAGGGTAATCGAGTAATCGAGTAATCGAGTTCGATTTAGCCACAATTGGTTATGAGGTCGACTTGTGTCTAAAGTGTGGGCTGTTAGGAGGGCTGTTGGGCCTTCAGGAAAGTGAACATATATAACATTTCGATATACTTTTCATGCTTTTCAGTTGCCAAAACAAACGAAACTGGAGTGAAGCACTCTCCGCGGCGTTCAAGCTCGCCATTTCACTTAGACGCACAATCGAAGGAAGCAGCCACGAGCTCACAGTTGCAGTCGCCAAATGTGTTGGATGAGCCTTCGCCAACGGAGCAGCAGCAGCATTTTGCAGTGCTGACTGCAGCGTTGCTCAAACAGCAGCAGCAGCAGCAGCAACAGCATCAAGAGTCCTCGGATGCTCAGCAATTGGCAATGTCAAGCGGCGAGCTGCATCATTTACAGCTGCAGGCACAGCAGGACAAAGCTCATCAGCATCAGCATCAGCATCAGCAGGCTCCGTTTGTTAACCTAAATCCGCAGTCATTCCAAGGACTTCAGAGTATACAGAGCCTGCAGCAAATACAGCAGCAATTGAATGCTGCTGCAGCGGGCTCAGGTATGCCCATAAATCCGGTGGATATGCTCAATTTGATGCAATTCCATCATTTGATGTCGCTCAATTTCATGAATCTAGCTCCGCCATTAATATTTGGTGGCAATGCAGCAGCTGGAGCTGCTGGAGCAGCAGCTGGAATATCCAGTGGAGTAGGCGGAGTCCAGAACAATGGCATTGGTTCCGCCTCAGCAGCAGCAACCAGCAGCTCTGAACGTCAGCCCAAGTGCTCAGGCAGTGCAGCAGGCAGCTTGACAACGGATGCCGCCAACATCAATATAATTCCGACCAACAACAATCAGGTAAGACACAAAGCAACCTACATAATCACGAATCGAATTTGGAGCTAATATAAATCTAATGTTACTGCAGCAACAGCTGAGTAGCAATCAGAAACGGGCTCGCACACGCATTACAGATGATCAACTAAAGATTTTGAGAGCTCATTTCGATATAAACAATTCGCCCAGCGAGGAGAGCATTATGGAAATGTCTCAGAAGGCCAATCTGCCAATGAAGGTATGTATATATATATAGAGAGAGAGAGAGAGATTGGTGTTGATAGATATTTTGTTACAGGTTGTCAAGCACTGGTTTCGTAACACGTTGTTTAAGGAACGACAGCGAAACAAGGACTCGCCTTACAATTTCAATAATCCGCCATCAACAACTCTCAATCTAGAGGAGTACGAACGGACTGGGCAAGCTAAGGTGACCTCATTAACTCCAACAGATGCTCCAGTCGCGCCATTGAGCACAGCAGCAGCAACATCAGCGGCAACGGTTGCAGGAGCAGCAGCAGCAGCAGCAGCCAACAACAACCTAATAGCAGCCACATCGTTGTCAGCGGCAACAGCAACAAATCTCAGTAGCAATATAAGCGATTTTTTTAAAACGCAAGTTGTTGACATGATGCACACTCAGCCGGTAGCTGAGCAGGAGAATCCATTGCCATTGGAGGTGCAAATCAAATCTGAACCGCATGACGACAATCTGGACTTCTTTCACAAAAAGCAGCAACAGCAACAGGAGCAGGCGTTTGAGTTTCTGAACCAACAGCAGATTGAGGCAGCGGAGTCATTGATGCCACATCATCATAATGTGGACATTATGCACGATAACACAATGCAACAGCTATCAACCGGACACTATCAAAATCAGCAACAACAGCAACAACAGCAACAACAGCAACAACAGCAACAACAGCAACAGCAACAGCAACAACAACAGACGAATTGTTTTGAAACAAAGTCCGAAAGTGGAAGTTCAGATGTGCTGTCGAGACCGCCAACTCCGAACAGCGTGGCAGCCAGCAATTTGTATAGTAGCATGAATGATTTGCTCAGCCAGCAGCTGGAGAATATCGGCAGCAACATGGGTCCGCCCAAGAAATTGCAAATATCTGGTAAATCATTTGAGAAGATAGCGGGCACAAGCTCATCATCAACGCCGTCAACAACAGTTTGCCTGGAGAGCAACTCGTCAAATTCATCGAATTCATCGTCTTCAACGTCCGGTGGCAAGCGAGCAAATCGCACACGTTTCACTGACTATCAAATAAAGGTGCTGCAGGAGTTCTTCGAAAACAATTCATATCCCAAGGACAGTGATCTGGAGTATCTAAGCAAATTGCTGCTGCTGTCGCCAAGGGTAATTGTCGTCTGGTTTCAGAATGCACGACAGAAGCAGCGTAAGATCTACGAGAACCAGCCCAATAATTCCCTGTACGAAAGTGAGGAGACCAAGAAGCATAATATCAATTATGCCTGCAAGAAGTGCAGTCTAATATTTCAGCGCTATTACGAACTGATCCGTCATCAGAAGAATCATTGCTTCAAGGAGGAAAACAACAAAAAGTCGGCTAAGGCACAAATTGCAGCTGCACAAATCGCTCACAATCTAAGCTCAGAGGACTCCAATTCGTCCATGGATATACATAATCATCAGTCAACGGGCAGCCTGGGTCAGAATGTGGCAGCTGCTGTTGCTGTTGCTGCTGCTGCGGCAGCAGCACATTCAGTACATTCGAGCTCGCAGCCATTTGGCTCATCTCCGTCGCCGCAGCATCTGTTTAGTAAGGCATCATCGCTGACCGACTTCAGTCCGTCGACAACCCCAACGCCACCACAGAGGGAGCGCAGCAATAGCCTCGATCAGCAACGCTTGCCCAAATTTGACTGCGAGAAGTGTGAAATGCAGTTTAATCAATTGGAATTGCTACGTGAGCATCAATTGATGCATTTGATGAGTCCAGCTCTGTTTCCTGCTGGCAACCATCAGTCCTCGAGTCAGTCTGAAGCGGCATATGGCCCCTTTGGCAGCATATTGCAGGGATTGCAGCAGGCTGCACAGCAGCAGCAACAACAACAACACCAGCAGCCGCAGCAGCAGCAACAGCCGCCAGCAAAAAAGAGAAAATGCTCTGAAAGCTCTATGAACGCTGAGGAAGTATCAATGGGAGAGTTTGAGACTACACAAAAGAAATACGAGTTCCTATATCAATATTTTATGCAGAATGAAAGCAATGCGGAGGTTAAGCAGCAATTTCTTGTACAACATCAGCAACAGCAGCACGGAAGTGAAACCGACTTGGAATTAGAGTTCCTGAGCCATTTTTATCAACAAAGCGAACTAAAGAAGGTTAATAACTATGATTTCTTACTGCAATATTATCGCAAAAATGAGGATACGCTGAAGCAACACAACCAGCAATTGTCCTTTAGCTCTAGCAAGAAACCAACAATTGAATTTCTGTTACAGTACTATCAGCTAAATGAGTCGAAGAAGTTTTTTCAGTTAGCTGCCTCGCCCCAAACAGAGTCTCGACCGTCGTCGCAGCAGCCGACCGCGACGGCGGATGAACCAAACAAATTGATCGGCGTTCAGGAGCAAGAGCAGCAACAGCAGCTCCAACAACAGCTTCAAGAGGAAAAGGGTAAGATTGAGCTCACTAGACATCTGGAGGAGCAGGAGCATAACATAGAGCCAGTTACGCAAGGCGGTCAAGTGGTTCTAACTGATTCGAACGATCTATTGACGCCTGATGAAAAGCTCAACAATAATCATATCAGCATAAATATCAATGAATCTCAACGTATGCTAAGCAGAGATACGAAGGAAAATGCCATCGTTGAGCGTCGTGACAAGTTGGAGCAATTGAACAGCTCGAATGAGCCAATCAACGGGGATAAACACAAATCGCCCAGCGATAAGCCGCAGTATTTTCAGAATCTCGAAGACTTCCTCGACGCAACAATGATTGAGAACAATTCACAGATGCTAACATTCAATGATGACGACAGTCCGAGTCCAAAAGTTGAAAATGTCAAAGCAAATGATTGTTTGCCTCTGGACACTACTTCAGTGCAGCTAAGCGCCCCGTCCAAGCAGAACAAACGGCTGAGAACAACAATACTTCCAGATCAGTTGAACTTCCTGTATGAATGCTACCAAACCGAGTCGAATCCCAGCCGTAAAATGCTTGAGGAGATTTCAAAAAAAGTCAATCTTAAAAAACGTGTCGTGCAAGTAAGTCCAAAAACCGCTCAAATATATCTACTGATACCTTCCCACTACGATCGTAATTGAAAAGAGAACCAAACATTACTACCTAATACTAGCTTGTAATGCACTACCTCTGCATAGCCTAGAATGGGATGACAAATATCATAAGCATAGCCCCAAGACGACAAACTTAGTCAAAGCAAACTCAGTTTGTGGAAATATTTGAATACTGATAAGATTCGATTCCCACTCTATTTTCAAATAGTAGAGTCTTTCACGCAGGTCATACACACATTCAGATGTCCTATTCAGACCCTTCCTACTTCTAGAGTCCAGGTTTAATCAAACTAGTTCTCATATGGATGTATAAGTATGAACGCAAGAGGCTGAGATCAATTAAGACAGCAGGTAATTCCCAGTCGGCGGCTCCCGATCATGTTCTTCTTCCTTCTAGTCATCTTATAGATCAGATTATTTTATTGCATCTCCATCACTACTCAGACATATTCTTAGTTTAGTTTACCTTTTTACGTTTATTATTATTATTATTAACATTTCTTTTTGCTTTCTTTTACATTTTTTTATTTTTTTAGTGAATTTTCATTAGAATTCATTCAGAAGCCAAATGGAACTGAAAGAACAAAACTGTGAACTGTGCACTGAAATTCTGAAATTCGAAAATTCTAAACCTAAACAAATGTTTTGATCAGCTAAAAATTAAACCAAATCAAATTTAAGTAACGCCAAGTAAACCCACATCCAACTTTTCTATGGGAAAACGGAGTTATATCTGGTAATTCATATCGGATATCTGCTGCACTCGAGTAAGATTTTGAATTTAAGAATACGTTTAAGCAAATAATACTAATTTAGAGCAAAGCAGGTTGACTAACTTATATAGTGTTAAAAATAGAGCTTCGTAACTGAATCTATTGAAAATGCAGGAATTTTGGAGCACGAATTTTGGGCAAGTGAGGAGTAACAGACAGAAGGAAGCTTAGCAGAAAAGAACGGATCTATCCGTCATGTAAAATAAAAGCAACTAGAGTTCCGACATTGTCAAGATGTACATCTGTAATAATCTCCTATAACCTTGTTATCGATCAAAATCAATGTCGATTGATATCTACCAGAGAAGCTGGAGATTCCACTGTGATGAATTCACATAATACGCGTGCTTAGTCCGTTGGTAATTTGCCAAATTTACACACATTGGGAGCTTGTCTCAATAATTTGGTTATTCGGAATAGCATTTTCCTAGTAAAACCCATAATTCTAGTCGCTGAAGCCTACAAAGATTAAAAAGCAGCCCGAACGAGGATTCAGGCTATCTTCTAGTCGGGTCCTACCGACTATAGTATTTTTTGCAATGTCTCAAAAGTTGTTCTTAATAAAACATTCTTTTCATATTTTCATAGAGCAATTTTATTTTAATACCTGATTATAATTATTATTTTGTTTGTTCGTTTGCAATATACCCATCTATACTACTCCATCTATAAGTCTGCGATCGGGTGTCTTGTGGTATATATTGTAAGGGGCAGCAGTGGTGATTGTTTAGCGTTTTCACTGCTATTGACTTAGCTCTCTTAACACTATCTGCTTTGGGAGCAGGAACGAGTCTTATGACAACGGTCGAGCCCGATTACAACACTCTCACTTGAACTCACCTCACAAGAATGGAAATTAGACTGGTGTATAGTTTGCTCACGTAATTAAGTGTAAATGTATAGTAAATGTTTGTAGCTGCTATTAGACTGCTAATTAATTCGGCTGCTTTCGCAATGGACTTTCAGGTTTGGTTTCAAAACTCACGGGCTAAAGATAAGAAATCGAGGAATCAACGACAATATGCTCACATTTCGGATGACAACAACAGTTTCGACGGATCAAGTGGGAAGGAAGCTGGCAACAATAGCAATAATAGCAACAATGTTGGTGGTGTTGGCATCAAATCAAGCAAATCTCTAGTTTTGGGCCAAGAGGCTAGCGATCAGCCACTGCAGGATTGCCAATTATGCCAAATACCACAGGTAAATATGCAGAAGCATGCATTCAGCGTCGAGCACATCTGCAAGATGAAGGAGCTGCTTGAGCATACCAGCGAGCTCTATGCTCACAGTAATGCCAGCGGCAGCGACAATGACAATGACTGCGACAGGGGCAGAGAGCGACGCTTCTACAGTCTCTCGAAGGCATTTCTGCTGCAGCACGTCGTCTCGAATGCGAGCAGTAGTATCGCACTCACCTCCTCGACTGGGCAGCTGGATGATGAGAACAATTGCTTGTTGGGCTACGATCCCAGTGCGTCGGCATCGGCATCGGCATCGGCATCGGCATCGGCATCGGCCTCGGCTGCCAGTGACTTGGCAGATGGTCGACCGGTTACGACAGCAACAGGCCATCGTCACTTGGCTGGAGACATTGCCCTATCCGTGAAAGACAACGACATCGATATGCCAGAGGCCGGCCGGAAAAGCTCGTCGAGCAATCGGGATCTGATGCAACAACTCTTCAATCGCAATCACATCACTGGTAAGATTTGCGAAATCACACGGATCGCCCCAGCGGAATCATAAATTATATTATTATTTTTTATATTATATTTTAATTTGCTGTATTTAGTGTAATTTAAATGATTTCGCGATGCCTGACTATGATTTTTCATGTGCTGCTTTATTTTTATAATTTAAACACTCGTTTCTCACACCAACAATGAATTATGTATTTGATGTATGTGATGTATGCATAGGTGTGCATACTTGTGCATACGTGTATGCATATGTATATATGTATGTACGCACGCAGTTGTATGAATCTATGTATGTACATACATTGCTCAGTATATATGTAGATGCATGTATGTATCTACGTATGTGCATACAATGTATGAAAAGTCACATGGATAAGCCCTAAGAAATGTCCACTAAGATACACCCGAACACATATGTATATGTATGTAGTTTATGTAATAGGCTCTCTAGTTTTTAGTCACATCATGTATCATAGGTATGTACGTGTGCCCAACGATACATTTGCAGAACGTAATGTCAAAGACTAAGCAAAAGCTGATTTTAAAGACGAATATGGATTAGTTAGATTAGTTAATAAAATATATAGTTACATATGCCTCGCAACTCCTTATTCATAATATATATGTATATAGTATGTACGATCGATATGCATATATAACTGATAATTAATGTGTATCTTAAGCCAAGTAATTAAGAAAGAGCTATCTATACGTATTTAGTACTATCTCTAACGAACCAGGAAACACAATCTTCCAGTTTACACTCAACACTAAAAGTGCTCTAGCTTTCATAGCAACTATATTTCTATATATGAAACTGATATATATATATATATATATATATATATATATATATATATATATATATATATATATATATATATATACATATATATGTAATTCCTGATTGATAGCTTAAATAGTGTACATACCTCAACGAACATTGTTTTATTTGAGTATAACAACATAAAGAAACCCCATTTTAATTACAAACTCAAACTACTATAATTTTGCAAAGTCTGTACAAAACACAATAAATCCTTTTTTTGACTACTAAAAACATTCAATTTCATTTTTTTCGATTCATTATATTACTTTTTGCTTTTTTAAACTTGTGTTTTTCTGAATATTGTATACCCTATATCCATTGAATATGTTTTAAAAAAATATATATAATGTGGAAATGTGAGAAGACAGATGAAAATCTATCCCAATCACCTTGAATATATGTGTCTGAATTGTCATATATAAACAACAGTCAACATTCTGATTAAGGGTATAGGGTATGCGACAAGTCGTGCATTGACGACTTGAGATATGGAAAAATCTGTATGCAGTACAGTAGTAAAGAACCTAAAAACCCTTTTTTTGAACAGTTATAGGTGGCAAATAATTTGGAATACTTTCGCTAAAATCGACTTGATATGACTTGGGAGGTAAGTACCCTTACAATCATATACATCTATATTTGTGCATATATATGTAATTAGCCGATTCCCATTTTATCATTTGCAGAAAACGTTTCGTATCTCGCAACAATTTGACGTAAATAGAAAGCAGAGGAAAAGCAGGAGGATGATATTAAAGCATTATTTAATGAAAACTAAAAATACGCATAAACACATATATATATATATATATATATATTTACTAACATACTATATGAAAACTTGAAAGTTCCTATTTTGAAGAAATTTAATGCGGCTAAATTTATACATAAAGTATGTGTAAGTCAAAGAGATTACATTAACATTAAATATAAGAATTATATAACGATACGGAAGTGTTCCTAACTATTCAAAATAAATATATATATATATATAGACACACACATCATATACGTAGCAATAATCTTATAAAAACTATCATCAAATTATCATAAATGCAAAAATGAAAACAAAGAAGAAAAGGAAACAGAAATAATCTGAACTGAGAACTCCGCAGATCTCTCATTGATTGCGGAGTTGTGAGTTAACTTACAACTTTCTTTTCTCAACATATACTTAGAGTAATACATGCATACATACAACCAATCATTCTACTATGTATATATACGTATATATACATATATATATATATATGCATATATATGATATTTCAAACAACTAGATGAGAAGAGAAGAGAACGTTCGAATTAGAGAGATGCAAACTGAGTTCCTAGCATTATATTGCTTTATGCCTTTATTTTCTATTTAAGATATATTAATAAAACAATATATGAATATATATTAAAAACGTCTGGATGGCTCAGATCAGTTCCGGCTCGTCGGAAAACAAGACAAGTTACATACATATATATGTATATATATACAACAAAACGCTCAATATTTTGAAATCTAACGATTCCTGTACATGTATTTTTATTTGTCTTTCGTTTTCCTCTATTATTGCATTACTTGATCTTGGAAATTGAACTCAAAAGAATCAATTCTCGTGAATCCATGTGTGAAAATAAATTATTTTAGACAATGTGCCAATGCTGTAGTTTGCCATGTTCACATATATATCTATAGAGATGTGCAAAAGTTTCCGTCGAGACTGACTGACTGACTATAGTAAACGCCGAGCGAGCAAGCAAGAACTACTTTGCAATACCCGTTCCTTGCTATACCCATTCAAAGATAAGCCGTTACCGAGTGTAGGTCGAGTGTATGGCTGTAGCAAGCCATCCGGGGACTTGCGTCTTAGTAAAGAAACTATGAAATATAATAGTTACTAGTGGTAGCAAATCCGTTCGGTTCGCACGGTTCAGGTTCCGCCTGGCTGAATAGTCTATTGTTTCTAAATATTTCTTTCCACATTCAGTTATTGAATATTTTCAATCCGAGTAGCGCTTTTCTCAAGCGAACAGGCCAAAAAATCATTATATTTTAAGTGATTTTAATCATCCTCATTCCTAATTCTTAATTCCTAATGATCCTCATTCATCAACATCTACTTTTTGTAGTTCGACTCAGATATACATTCTGTTGCGTACCATATCTTACTATTATCTATTTTGTTATTGAGATATTTCATCACTTCTCCATATAGAACATAAATGAGACACTGATTTTCATTGGAAAAGACGCATGACTGAATCCCAGATGCCCTTTGTAGTCATCCAAGACCTAACGCTTTATTTAAGTGAATGCCTAACTTGATTCGAATCACTAACTTAACTCAAATCCCATCTGAATGATAAACTAGGCCTTTTTGAATTGGGATTTCTCTTTAGAACACGTCTATTTCACGATTATATAGAAATGAAAAGTTATAGTATTAATTTTTATTTCTTACAATTATTGTTATATATATTTTAAGCTTCCATGACAGTGTCAAATATTATACCGTTATATATGAGCATCATCATCCCTCTTTAGCTATTTATATATCTGTTCTTATGCTTTATCATTTATGTATATATATATATATATATATATATATATATATATATATATATATATATATATAATATATATATATATGAACATGTCCATTCGTCTGACTGTCTAGCAATCTCTCAGCGATCATACCACTTTTAATTTTAATTCTTCATCACTATCTTATCTCGAAGGATAGTTCGCGGTATCTCGTAGTCGGGCACTCCCGGCTAGAACGCTTGGTTTATTTGAGCTCAAATTAGCAGTAGGCACTGGCCACGCAGCAAAGCAGACTCAAGCAGATCAAGAACAGATATAATGTGAAGGGGATTTGGTTGATGAGCTTCGACTATGGCAGGACAGATGTAAACGCAATATTATTGTCAAGATTTCAAATTGTGAATGTGTTTAACTACATAATTCTCCAGAGGTGTATTCGAAGAATTTCAAAATATATATTTTACTATTGTAAACTGCATTATTAACAATTTCATAAATATAGAATTGATCGTTGCTAAGTAATTCAAATATAGTTAACTTAAACTCTTTTTGTTATCCTTATAGGAAAGACAATTTTTTGAAACTGGTATAAATATTATACACACAATTATATATATCTAACTTAAGATGAAACAACATAAAGTAAACCAACTTCTGAGTTTAAGAAACCAACTTTAAATTAAAAGTTCCTATAGCATTAAAAATAACAAATTCTTTAGCTCTAAGAACGCACTAATCTGCATAAGCCATAGATATAAACTCATACACATTAATATATTTATATATATGTATATATGCACATATATATACATATAGTAAAAGAACAAATAACTAAAGGAAACCTCGCAAGAAAAATGAAAAAAAGAAAGAGAAAACAATTGTAATGTTAAAAACATATATATATATATATATCATATATATCATAAGCCTCTTCATATTGCTTTTTATTCATTTACACACATGCAGACAGACAGACACATACATACACGTATAAATTATTGGCTGATTACTTGATCTATTTGACCTATGGACTTATCTATGGTTCAACACCCGCAAATGTTGGCGACATATCAACACACACACCCACAAGCACCTCTATATATATATATATATATATATATATATATATATATATGTATATCGATATGCGTCGATGATGAATTACAAAAAGATCAAGGAATACATTCATGGATTGGTTCTTATTCAAGTCGTTCACATTCCAATACATTACATTACATTATATATATATATATATATATATATATATATATATATATATATATACATATATATATATATATATTTTGCCCAAAACATACAAGCATTCATTCCGTGTAAGTAAGTAAGTAAGGTACAGAAAACAACAATAATCATAATGTTAATCAAGAGTTGCTGCAATACTTGCATAGAAATTTACTATATAAAATGTATGTATATATGCATGTATATGCATCCATATATGTGTGTATATATATACATATATAAATAATTTATAAAGTTCCTATTATAATAAATGGCAAAAGATGTGCAGATATTATAAAATTATAAATAAAACAAAAACTAAAACATGCTAAAACTATGAGTCGTATTCTTAATTAATTTGGCTCAAATGTAGTGAATCTCTCAATATACAATGTTTCAATGACAGAACAACGATTTCTGCGGGAGCAGAAGCAGGAGCAAGAGCAGAAGCAGGATCTCAAACTTCAGTCACTCTTTACGTTTGGA